AACCTAAATTTAATATTCACCCAAAAACCTAAACACCAGTTCAACATAATTGGTTACTACCACCAATTCAATTGCCAATTGTTTTATTGGAATCAAGTCCTATACTTCTCTTTTTTTTTGGTCAAAGAAAGTCCTATACTTCTATTCGATCCGAATCTTATCAAACTTTTGATAAATGGAATTTGCTATATTTGACCAAAGTCCGTACTCCGTATACATTTTCTCATTTTTATATCTTGATTTAAAAAAAAAAAAATAATGTACTCTCGTGAATTAAAATGATGGTGTATAATCAATGGTTAATGGCTTCCATTCTTTTTCGAATTCCCGTGTCTTGTGGTGTTGGTACAAGTAGCGTGAAAATGTAGGATTTTTATCCTCACTTTCTCAATAGTATAATATCTTTCATGATTTTTTTTTTAAAATAAGGTTTCAGTTTTTCTTTCCTATATTCGTCTAATAAGAACACCACATTAGCAAATATATACTAGCGTGAAAATATACAAAACGAAAACAAAAATTTACAGAATCTGATTTCTTTCGTTGATGTAATGGTTTGTGTTGGTCATCGAAAATTCGATTATTCCGATGTCCTTCCCCTTTTCGCTTTTGTCCTTGACAAAGGAATATTTACATTGGTATAATTATGAAAGTGTGAAAAATATTAAAGTATGAGTTGTAATTGGATAGCTGGTGTTTGTATTTTCGCATCGAACTACTTACCATCTATCCTTTTTATTAAAAAAAAATGTTTTAAAAGAAACAAAAACTTAGCTTATGATTACTTATAACGGTAATCTTTAGATCCAAGAGTTATAATCATATATAAACAAGAAAATCAATACTTTGATTAAAAGTTTTATAATGATTCCGTGATGCTAAACATCATAAGAATTTGTAAATATAAGAAGAATACTATGTAACATCTAATATATATATATACTAGATTTTGACCCACGCCAAGCGTGAGATTATATAGTTAAATATGTTTTTAATCAATTTTAATATTTAGACGTGTATTTATAATATTTATAAACATACAAAATGATATGTATTGTGCATAAATGTAATAAAATTAAATTTTGACCAAACATATTTTAATGTCATATGATTTGATCAATTTTGCATAAAAATATTAAAACTAATGCAAATATTATTTATTTCAATTTATTTGAAATGTAAAATTAATTTTTATTATTTGTATAAATTACAAAGTATGCGATAAATCAATAAATTTGTCAGTGTAACAAACAAAAAATATATGTTTTTTATATTAAAAAAATATGAATTTTTATTTTTGAATATTATAATCTCGTGTTTAACGCATGTCAAAAAAATCTAGTAGTCATTGAAAAAAGTAAGATATTCTCACATATACTTTATATTCTTTAAATAAAATCTTCCATATTAATTACCACATATTTTTTGCTTCCATATTCATTTAATAATTATATATTGTATATGTGATATAAATTTAGTGGGTAATTGGGCTAAAATATAGTTGGACTCTTCTAATTATTTACATAATAGTTTATGTCATTAAAAAGATTTTAATAGCTTTCATTAAAAGTTCTTTAAAAATCTTCTTTAGATGACATCTATAATTTTTACCTAGTGTCTCCTCTATTAATATAGATAG